GAGAGAGAGAGAGAGAGAGAGAGAGAGAGAGAGAGAGAGAGAGAGAGAGAGAGAGAGAGAGATGTGGGGAAAAATACTAAAAGGGTCGATCTCTATCCCGCACAGTCTGTCGCGCTGCTCGATGTCTCGTGTCGCGGCGCAGGGGGCAGAAGGAAGCAAAAAGAGAGGGAGAGAGAGAGAGAGAGAGATTGGAGACGATGACGTGACACTTGGTCAGCAGCCCTTAACCCGACGCGCGCTGTCGCCTTGCTGCCCTTGCAGATCACATCCCCTGCCGTTCTCGGCGGTATCGCACAATCGGCGGGACAACTTTTGCGGAAAGTGCGGATAGGACTGGCGACGAAAGAAGAAGAAGAAGAAGAAGAAGAAAAGAAAAGAAACACTTTCTGATGTACTCACTCGAGGGTTGTGCCCTTGGCCGCGACGATGTACTCCTCGTCCTTGAGGGGGGCGTCCGGCGTCCCCTCCGCTGCGCCAGGCAGCTCGAAGGTGACGAAGAAGTACTCGGAGCTGGAGAGCTGTGAGCGGGGAAAAGCACGACCGTCATCGTCAATTTACAACAAAGTGTGGATATAATATTCTCGGGAAATACATATTATTCTGATTTTTTATTCCCGCCACGGACGCGGGCGGTTGCTGTGGCGCGTGCGCAATGCGCACGGAGATGGGAATTCAGAGTTGGAAATAAAATGAAACCGAAAGACGGAAGGGGAAGTGTTCTGTCGAGACAGAGAGATGAATATTGCACGGGCAAAGGCTGTCACTGTCAACATTGCATTGCATTTCGCTGCTGTCAGGGGCGGCCTGGCCCGCCGGCTCCTCATACATTTCTTTAGGCCGATGGCTCACGTTCCAAATTGCCTCCTCCCCAGCTTGACTGTTTTTGCCTTCTACATCCCCTCCCCCCCTTTCCCCTCACAAACGCAGACTTCCCGCCCCCCTGATGGTCTTCAGGGGTGGGTTGCCCGCCGCCCATCAAGGGGGGAGAGCAGGGGGGAGCGGGCGTTTAGCGTCAGTGCCAGCCAATCAGGCTGGCGCCAGCCGCACCCCCCTGACTCTCTCCCCTTTGCTGCCCCGACCCTCCGCGTCGCGCGCCGGGGTCGCATACCTCGCGGCTTGAGGGTGACCCGAACCATGCGGCGACCGAAGTGATCAGCAAAGCTGGGTAAAGTTACCTCGCAACGCAGAAACAAAAGAAGAAAAAAATCCCATCGTTTTCTGAGACAGAGATAGTAGTGTTGCGCAATTCCTGGCCGCCGCCGCAGCGCGCTGCTGGGGGTTCACTGCGCTGCGCAGTGACTACCATTGTACCGCTACAGGCACCCCCTCAGCAGTGACAGGGGCGGAGGAGGGAAGGGGCGACTCACAGGTGACACACAAGGGAAATCTCCACCGCCGCCTATAGGCCCCGCCGCGTTCTGATCTCCCCC